CGATATGCATTAGAAGTTACGTATGCTAATTGATCACCCCTCGTACTGCGAGCTAAATCATTAATAGCTCCTTCCGTATTTACTAAATGAAAGCTATTCATTAATTCATATTCTGATTGTTCTTCGGCATAAAAGCGTAATATTTTTGCTGAAATAATTTTATAAAAATCTATTTGAAATTAGGTATAGAAGTTTGTATTATCAAACTTTTCTAATTAAAAATGTAAACAGCCTTACGGAAGAATTGCTAAATTGAACATTATGTAATGTGATAGAGAGCATTTACCTTTATCTAAAGTAACGAATCCCTCATCTTGTACGTGAGAACAGCGGAACAATTCAGAATTAGTCATTGTGATCAGTTTCCATTCGTTGGGCAGAAATCTAAAATTAATAACAATAACATAAGAAAAGAATGGAAATGGCTTAAGTAAAAGTTATGCTTTGTATAAATTTGAGAAAATAACATGATCAATAATCCACTGTATTGCATTATTAATTATTAATAATCAGTAATTTTTCTATGGTTCAAAGTTCAACTGGAATATAAATGAAAACTACTACCTATTGACGAGTTTAGCTTTCTCACTCAGTGTGAAACTATTGGATATATTTGGCATAAACGACAGACGACGATTTGTTGGCTTTCTACGTCGACCTATTTCCCGGTTCTTTAGCATACTCCTAATGGAAATCTTCGGTAAAGAAGCACCGGACAGAGTAGCTGTCCATCTTCTTAAATCCAACATTGTCTGAAAGTTAATCTTAAGATATTTCGAGAAATTTCTGTTACGAAATGCAAGAAAAAGGCACATAAACTTACTGGAATTGTGTTTCGATCACTCATTGAGACAATAATTAATTCTATTCAAAAATAATGTTCGGATGGTTGTTGGAAATGAAAGGTCGAGATCGAGCTAACAGACAACTATGACTCTGTAGACATTGTTCATTACTCGACTTGACATATTTAAATATCACATTGCGTTAACGATACCATCGAAAGGATGCAAAAATAATCTTCCAAATGAAACAGATATACGAAGGAGATAGAAGAATTACGAGAACTCGATCACTTCGAGTTGCATTTGATTCTGTTTTCTAAGTCTTTCTCCCTCTTCGTGCCACTTTGGTCCTTTAGTCAAGAAATTGTCAGTGTTCAGATAATATTTCTCGAATTTATTTCCACAAATTAAAGGAAAAAACTTCAGGGCTGAACCGCTGGAAGCACGAAGGTAACAAGCATTAAAGTCGCCATTGTTCGTTACATCTATGCAACTTACTTTCATCTAAAAAGTAATTCGGGTGGATCAATCGATCTCTGTCAAACAATCTCTCCCGCTTTAGCACCATTTTATTGGGATAATGGGTCATTCCATAAATTTGAATAAATTGATTAAATGAGCATCGATAAATATTTGATAATTATTTGTTGCTGAGTGCTTTCGAAACGCATTTCTCGAAGATCGACTAGCAATGACAATGAGTTACTGATTGAAATAGAAAAAGGTTTCCATAAAAAAGAGGACGTCAAGATTCTGAAATGTCATCGAGAATGGACGAAGGACAGTTTTACGAATTTCTTTAATTGTCAGATGCGACTGAATGTTTGTCATATACATCGTTGTTAGAAATCTTTTCAAAACTTATTTTAATTTACTTGCAAAAACAGAAGTTCGGAATGAACGAACAGATTCGAATATTTTCCATGGAAACAAAAATTAATAATTGTGTATATCACGCTGTTAATGATTATTG